TAAGATCTAATGATGGACATGAGTCTACTGAGTCTGTGCATGATTTTGACTCCAGTTTGGAATAAATACACTCAGGGAGAACAAAAAATTAGAGAACAAGATACTCTTGTGGAAAAGAGTACCACAGAACTGGAGGAACCTGAGTGTGACATCCATTCTAAACCATTGCGTAACCCTGAAATAAATTTGCCAGTGCCCTCCAACTCTGGAGATCAACATTCTATGCCGATTCCTGAAGATTCAGTGACACTAAGACGATCTTCAAGAAGAAAATCATTACAATATCCAGAACATTAAAAAAAAAAATTATTAAAAAAGAAAATGGACAGGGAGAATGTCATAAGCATTAACTTCCCTTGATTTGGACTCTTCTGGAATTATCCACCTTTTGCTGTACTATATATATATATATATATATATATATATATATATATCCTCTTTGATTTGTATTCTTGGTATTCTTATTTGCCCTTATCCCCATTGTGGACTGTTCTGTTTATTAAAGCCTTCATCAAGGTACTTTTTTTATTTTTAGTTCTATTCCTTATTACAGTATATGAGATTGTGTGTAATTCTAATTCCAGGTTATGCTGTCCAGATTCAGATATTTTATGTAATTTGAATTTATCTTTCATTAAATGATATTATTTGATTTTTGGATGTTATATTTTAAAATCATCAAGAAAAAAAAAGATTTTTCCAAATATGCCTTTTTTGTTGTCCAAATTTATTGATATTTTATTAACAAATATAAATAGACATACTTTACTGGGATCAATTTAAATGATAAATGATATTTTATTAAAAAGAAAAAATATTCAGTGTTTAACTTTAAGTAGTAAAATTTTTTTTTCCTAAATTCTATGAATAAAATCCATTTTGTTGTAATATGAGATTCAGTTTTACTTAATGCTACAAGGACCAACGTAATTCCCAAAGATCTGATCTGTGATGTATTCAAATATGATTGTGAGATACCTTTTACTTTTTCTTGTCTTCCTGTTCCTCTCAGCTCTTTTTGCTAGTTGTACACTACCAAGTACAATGATGTTCCAATGATATTTTGGTTGAGTCATAAATGGTAATCATCTATTTCCCAAAAAGCTACCTGATAACTTTGTATTTAGTTGTTGTTGTAAAAGTGGAGAGCAAGGCCTGTTCCTCTCAATGATAGCTTTATCTGTCACAGTGGCAGGTAAATCTATCATTGAGAGTAGCAGCATGCTGCCAACTTTCTATAATATTTGCACGCAGTGATCCCAATGTTCAAGTCGGCTTCACTCAAACCTTTGTATTGATGAGAAGCAGGACAGGCACCAGCTCCTTCACTGACACTGTTTTCCCAGGGAGTGTTGCATCGCTTCCATTTTCTTTGAAATGCAAGAGTGGCCTTCCAACTGACCTGCTTGTTAGAAGCTGGCCAAACAGGAGCTGTTTTGGAAGTTTGCTATCGCTCATACAAGAAAGATGTCCTGCCCACCTGAGTTGGATTTTTATTAGGATGGCTTCAATACTGGTCATATTGCATTTAGTCAGAACTTCAGTTTTTAATGAGATTACTCAGTTTTCTGTTGAAATTCTATGTAGGCAAATCATATGAAAGTTATCAAGTTATTATCAGTACAGAGTCCAAGATTCTGCACCACAGAGTCAGGATGTCAGTACTACTGACTTGTACACATTTTCACCTTTAACAAAACATCATGGTATTTCAAAGCCTGTGATAAAGATTACTGAAGGCAGAACAAACCTTTCCAATCCTGCATTCAATTTCTTTGTCCATACAATGGAGCCAAGATAGTGAAAAAGGAAACGGTTTTCAAGACTTTTTCCCCTCAACACGAGGGATGGTTACTGATAAGCTGATAAAAAAGTTTCATTTTTTATGCTGATGGTCAGACTGAAAGCTTTTGATGCATGAGAGAATTTGTTAATGATCTATTGGATATCCTCAAGGATGTGGGCTAGCAGTGTGCAATCATCTGCAAAGAGTAGGCCACAGTTTGCACAACCATCTTAGTTCTTGCTTTGAAACATTGTTGGTTAAACAACTGACAGGTTGTCCTAAACTCAAATCTCACACCTTCTTTAATATTCTTAAATGATGTTTCCAGCATGACAGAAAAATACAAAGCAAATGAGCGAGGTGAAAGAACAGTCTTGTTTTGTTCCATTAGAGACAATGAATGGGTCTGACACTTCTCCAGTGGATCTAATTGAGGTCATCATCCCCTGGTGGAATAATATGATAACACTGAGCATCCTTTCAGGAACACCCAGCATCCTAAGGACAACCCAAAGATCATCCTTTGAAACAGTGTCAAAGGCCTTAGTGAGATCAATGTAAGTAATAAATAAATCTTTGTCATGCTCTCATGCTTTCTCCTGTAGTTGCCTTAAAATGAAATCATGTCCACAGTGCATCTACCAGACCAAAAGCTGCACTGAGATTCAGACAAGACTGAATCAGCCAGAGAAAAGTTGAGTCAGGTTCAAGATGATTGTATCAAGAATTTTCCCAGCAACACACAGAAGGAATATATTTCTATGGTTGTCACATTTGCAGTTATTGCCTTTGTGCTTATAGAGATGGACAACAGAAGCATCTTTAAACTCCTGGGGAACTGATCCTGAATCTCAGATTAAGGAAAAGAGATCACAAAGTTTATGAATCAGGAGATTGATGCCACGTTTGTATATCTCTGAAGATGTGCAATAGTTACCAGTAGACTTTCCATTTGTCAGTTGTTTTATGGCCCTTTTTACCTCAGAAATAGCTGATAACCCTTCAAGAATAGGTTCCTGTGTTGTTTATAATATTCTCGTCAACATTTGAATCCATGTTTAGAATATTTGAGAAGTGTTCTGCCCAGTGTTTAGTGATCTCTTTTTTTGTTCATTACAAGGTTGCCATTGAAAGAAAAGATGGGAATTGAGTCATTTGATGCAGGTCAAAAACACAACTTAGATTCTAACAGAATGATTTAAAGTTGCATCTATCAGTAGCATCCTGTAATTCCTGTGTCTTCTCTCACCACCATGCTTGTTTCATTTTCCATTGATGATGGCACGTATGTATAATATCCAAAAGAGAAAGAATACTTGGATCATGAGTCAAACTAGTCTTGATGACATATCCAAGTGTTTCCTGGGATGACTGGTATACAGAACATTTGAAAGTACACCATACTGATTCAATGTTTACACTGTCTAGGATATCAGCAAGCTTCACAAAGGGTCTGAAAAGATTTGTCAGTTGCCAGTATTGTTTAGCTTTTTGACATCTATTCTTTCACTACAGATAGTGAAGCTAACCTCAGATCATATTAACCTATAATTAGACTAACACCCACCAATGGAGAAAGAACAAGATATTTTAAAATCTTTCCTGGAGGAAGACCTTACAATTACATAATTGATGAGATGATAGTGGTTGGATCGAGGATGCCTCAAACTAGTTTTGTGTTGTTTAGGAACTGGAAGATTGTGTTGGAAATCAAGAATCCATGCTCACTACAAAGGGATAGCAGTAGATGACCATTTGAGTTGGCCTTGCCAACACTATGCTTACTAATTACACTATTCCATACTTATGTATTACAACCTTCACATGCATTGAAATCGCTCAGAAGTTTATCATGAATGAAAGTACTTCTCAACTGGTTGTGTAATTCATAATAAAAATTTTCTTTAATTTAAGATACAAGGATAATAGCCTCATCCACATGTAAAAAAAAGACTAAAACTAATGGAAGCATTGATAATAAAAAAGACAAAGCCAACACTAAATAACATCAACTATGAACATGGCCACAATGTACTGACCATTTTTGGAAAATAAAACATTGCTATAACACTAGACACATACATACATAAAAAAAAAAAATCCATACATTTAGTTAAAAATTATAAATAAAAATCATCCTCAATAATGGTTAAAAGAATAGCTGAAAGTGCTTGGATATGGAGAACATTTGGTCAATTTTACACATTTTATGTCCAGGAAAGAAAACACTTATACAAACACAAGAAAAATTAAATAAAAAGCTTAATCATAGTACCTTGCTAGTATTGTTTGATGAAACTTATATATAACGAAAAAATTAATGTTTTGTCATTTAGTTAGATTTTGGGAAGTGGTTTGAACTGAGAACATTTCAGTATCCCTGAATGTGTGTGTATATATATGCTATATTCAAATGTGTGAGTACATAATGATAAAATTCATTTTTGATATTTACAAAAACTCATATCAATTTTCAGTTAATCAACATCAGAATTTATCTATGTAATACGTTTTTTAAAAGCAATATCCAATTTTATTTCACTAAAATATACCTAAGGAAAACAAAATCTTTAAAATAAAAACCAGAGTAAAAACTGATTTGTGAAATTTACTTGATAAATGATAATTTGCTCATGTTTCCTATTTATGAGATTCATATTCTTAAGTCCATAACTCAGTCTATATTTCTGAGATGAGGTATTATTTACACTATTTACATTATTCGGACTATGGTCCTCATTTTTGTTGCCATATTTATCACAATGTTTCGGCCGTTGTACGCTCTGGCCTTCTTCAGGTGGTTGGAATGTCGAACTGAACCCTTTATTTCACTCACTGGAGTAGACTGTTCTAGTTCCACGTGCCATGTCTAATGGATGTCAGTTATCTCCAAGTTCTTCACTGCCTTAAGGGTTCAATTCGACATTCCAACCACCTGAAGAAGACCAGAGTGTACAATGGCCGAAACGTTATGACAAATATAGCAACAAAGATGAGAGCAATAGTACAAATAATGTAAACAGTGTCTATAAATCAGTGTCTTTAGAGAAAATTTTAAAGATTATATTAGACATTACCTATTTTCAAAATATCTCAAATTTTCAGAAAATGAAACAATTTAAGTTGATCAGGTTAAAATTTATGTTACTGTATAAGTTACTTTCAATTTATTTATCAATACAAAATATTTGGATATTTCTATAAAAATACTCACGTTTCAGCTTCACAAGGAAATGCTGACCAGAGATTCATGGTATGATCACCAGGAACAACTGCTAAATCCATTTGTTGTTTATCGCATGAAGAAGCATCTTTCATGAAGTATTCAGAGTTACGGCGTACTGTTGCTGACATCCTGAAGAGATAAGAAATATCAAACATGTAAAATTTTATATAATATCAATCAGCTAAGTGACAAATTTTATATTTGTTTTAATTCTATATATATATATATAAATGGGCAAGTGACAAAATGTAAAAACTGTGACACATTTCATTCCAAGAAAGAACTTCTTCAGATTAATAATGGAATGAGGTGGGGAAAGGTTGGGAATAAAAAAAAATGCCAGTTAAAGTTTAGACTGAAAGGCTAAAGATACAAAGATGCTCAACTTATTCAACTTTTTATCACTTTGTTTTTTTTTACAGTTATCTCACATTATATTGGCAGTTTTCTTGTATGATCCTGGATGTAAATTTACCATTGAGGATTCCAAAATTAGAGCACATTTAATATATTATTGCTTTAATAATTTGCTTTCTCTTTTAAACAAAAGTGTATTAAGTCAAAATTACTGTTTGATCCATTACTATAAAGGATTGAGTATAGTGTTTTGTAAAAGTTCCAGTCATGTTCATATAATCTTTTATTTACATCCCTTTGATGTTTCAACCATGTACTTCTCTGAACATATTTACTGTCTATTTCATAAATTCCTGCTTCAGGCTTTAATTTCTTTTGTGCTGATTATTGTTTTTAAAGTAGTTGTGACAAATTTATTAAGTTTAAATAAATTCATTTCAACTGTACTAATTATGGAGTTGATAGGTAAATATTATGTATCTAGGTTTGTCAAAATTATTTGTGGTATTTTATTTTTGTGAGCTTTTCCATTCCTGTTATATATGAAATAATTAGGATACTGAAAGAGTTTAAAAGTATTTTTAACACATTTTTTTCAACATATAAATACTGAGGGCTATAAATTCTAAGTACCCTTAATTAGAAACCTATAATTATTCTGGAATTTATCTTGAGCAGAAATTTATGAGATCAGTTTTGTTTGTAGATCATTGGTAAATGTTCAGCTTTTAATTGTTATTGCTGTAGTTTAACATGTCACCAAGAAATGGTAATTATATCGATTGTTTATATTTCATAAGTAAATTCAATTGTTTGTTGACTGCTTAGTTTATTTACAAGATAAGGTATGATTGTTTTGCAGGTATATATTAATAAAGTATCATCAATATCAGAAATATGTTGATGCTTTAGGTAAAATAATTTGGAAAAGATCAGTTTGTAGAAATTCTAATTAAAAATGGGCTAATATATCACTGAAAGGTAACCCCGTCGGTAAAGCAAATTTCTGTCTACAAATTATTATCAAAGGTGAAATAACAATGTTTTGTAATAAATCACAAATCCTTATAATTTTATCTATCAGTTTTCATTTTACTAGACATTTCTTTAGGAGACTTAAGCTTTTGTTAATTGGTGCATTAGTGTACATAGAATTAATATCTAAATTAGCTGAGTTTATCTTTCGTATATTTATGGTATATTTATCTTGAAAAGGCTGCTGGAATTTTTAATATGTGAAGAGCTGTTTATTCCAAGTTGGGGGTTAAAATTTTGCTATAATTTTTGCTAGGGGGCACTTCTAATCCCACACATAAATATCATTTGTATATGACATCTGATATCTTTCAGCAAAAATGTTTATTTGCTTTTTCACTTTCCAGTGACAACTTAAATATCAGTCTTTATTCTTATTTTTTATAGGTTAACAACTAATACCAGTTGATAGTTCTCAATGAATCTATTAGTATTCACAAGCATAATATACAAATTAAATTCAATACTCAATATGCACTTTCATTGTAACATCAATAAAAATAATTTATGCAAATATCAACAAATATTTATTTTACTTCATCCTCTTATAAGTTATGATATCCTTTTTATCAACGAGGAAATGGTTTATGAATTGCTATTTTAATGATTGTGTAGAGTATATGAAAATGGATCAATAATTCTGTAGTCTGAAGTATAGTTATTAGCCAAATTTATCCCTGAAATTTTTGCTGTATAATATTCAGTCTGTGATATTAATATTCATCACTGAATTATGTGCATTAACAAAAAAAAAGATTATTGTAAAAAATAAATATTTGTTGTGTAAAATAAATATGGGTTTTATTATTAAGGAGTTTGTTTAATTATTTAAATATGATAAAATTAAAGAAAATATTCAAAATTAAAATTTTTAAATAAAATATTCAAAATATTGCAATTCAATTTCTAGATTATCAAGCCAGAATATAGTGCAGAAAAATATTTAAAAACAAATAAAAATATAAAATATTTCTCTAAATGATATTTATGTAAATAACATACACTAACCACTTGATTAGTACCAATAACCTTCAGTAAAGCTAATAATAAAAAGAATCAGATTAATTGAGTTCCATTCAAGTTTCAACATAACTATCATAAATTATAATAAAAATGTTCCAACCATTTCCAGAACATTTTTAGAACAAGTTGAACTTTATATAAAAGAATATGACTTACTTTCCAAATGGATATGAATAAGGTTTGGGATTGAGCTCTTCTTCCATTTCAAAATAGAAATACACAAACTGAATAAAAAAAATACATATATGTAAATTATAAAATAAATAATGTTTTTCATATTGGACCAAAGGAAAACATTTTATCTATTGAATTATAAAATAATTGCCAACAAGTGTCTTATGACGCTAGACAAAAGAATGCTCTTTAAGAAAGTTATAACTCTACTAGAATGTTATCCATCTTATGGTGGTGATTTAATGTTAAGAATTTACTTTTGCTGTCCTGGTAATTTTAAGCAAGCTTTCATTACATATGAGTACCCTACACACAAGCCACCAATCTGCCAATAACTGCCACCAGAGGACCGCTGGTATTGTCATCAGTGGTTTGCCAGTGGGTACTTGTGGCTTGCATGTAGGGTAAGGAAAGCTGAATCAATATCCACTTGAGTTTTAAAATGAATTGACAGATAACAAACATGCATTGCAAACAAATGTATTTTTCTGTACATTTTAAGTAAAACACAAATGTTTTTTCCAAAACAAATTCAGTCATGTACTCATTAAATTAATTAATCTTCCTTAAATCCTATATTTCTACTTTATTTTTGGAAGATTTTTAATTACAAAGTTTAAATTTTTCTATTAATATCATTCATGGTGTAATCAAAGTTAATTTGGATAACAAAAATTGATATTTAAAACAGTCTAAAACCTGTTTTATGGATACAAACATTTTCTCACTAACTTTATGGGATTATAGAGATGCAGAGTGCGATTATCTTCCTTTTGATAGGATGAATTTGCAAGTGTCATGTAATGGCTAGTGAGTGACATTAGCTTGTGTGATGACAAACCCCAATTGCTGTGAAGAAGCAAGACATTTTTGCCCATGGCAGGTAAGAAATGGCCAATGAGTGACATTAGCTTGTGTGATGACAAACCCCAATTGCTGTGAAAAAGTAAGACATGTTTGCCCATGGCAGTTATGAAAACAGAGGAAACCACATGGTTCCAACAAAGAAAAAAAACAAAAAAAAACATTGCTGCTCTGGTTGTTTTCCCTTTGGGAAATATTATCAGTAGAAACCTCTCAATTTTCACAATGCTTGTTTCATCCATATAAAGCTTGTGTGATACAAATAATGACAGGTATATAAATATTTGTATATAATTTCTGGTATAACATAGCAGTATATAAAATCTCTTTGAGAACAATGTGTATTTGGCATTCATTTCTTTCAGCCATTCCTTCCCTTGTATTAAGGTGTTAATATATCACAGATATACTAATGCCTATAATGGGAAACTGGAAATATTCTCTCTTTCCAAGCACTCCTATTGCTATTTTCTTGTAATTAAATCTCCAAAGTAGATATTTACATTATTGCAATACATTTGAATACTTTATATAAAATATAATCTATGATAATTGCTAGATTTGTAATGTTTTTAGTACATATCTAATTGAGGCAAGTTTAATATATCTATATTAAATTTTATGCAGATATATTTTGAGGTTATGTATGCAAAATATGAAATGTGTATCTGGTTTACATTCTTAAAGATGAACAAAAACATTGAATGATATCATTTTTTAATTAAAAAGTAACAGATGCAGACTATCATATTCTAAAATAAATTATAGTCATTTTGTTTGTAAAATTAATTGAAAATTTGGATATGAATATTACATTACATAAGCAAATTAGTTCAAATTATATATATATTTCTAATAATATTCTGAACACAAAATGCTTACATAAGTGCCTATGAAAGTAAATTACAAACCTATTTCTATATAAAAAATTAAAATAAAATGTGTTTATAATTGAATTAAAATTTTTGATGGACTAATGCTTTTCTTGAAAATTCTCATTACTGTTTTCTTTATAATGCAATCTATGCTTTTAAAGTTGAATTTTCTAATCTTAATTTAGGTGATCAAAATAAATGAAAAAAATTATTTTAAATATTTATTTTTCTAATATAGTAATTATTAAAAAAAAAATTAAATACATATTTGGGGCTACTTTTTTTTTAATTTATTAATTCATAATTTTTCTGAGTTGATAAGAAATAATTCTACAGCAATAAAATACTATTAAATAGAAAATTATTTACTTTATATGAAGAATTTTATATTATTTAAGAGTTAACTTTACAATTAATGGCAGAACAAATATTTGGAAAAAAGAAAAAAAATCATTTTTAATATCCCAGATGACATTTCAAGTTTTACTAAATGCTTAACTTACAACAAATATGCTATTAAATAAATAAATGCTTTAATTTCTAACAACTGTTCAAACATATTTGATTTCTAAATGTCAAATATTCTTCTGAATTTGTTTTATCCTCAGGTAATTTCTATTCTTTTATTGTTCAGCTTTCTTTCTTTTACCTTTCTTGTAATATTTTTTTTTCATTCTTTTATGATCAGTATACTTTTGCTTTAATCAATGTTGTATTATCAGAACACAAAACTTAGTATTTCCTTATTTCTAAACAAATTGTATTGATTAAAAAGTTTAAAAACTCAAACTTTCAATTATTATCACATGACTTTAGTGTAAAGTTCCATGGAAATAATATAAAACAACAATTCTGTGTATTGTTCACTCTCTCAGCAATCATTAGAATGCCTCAGGATAAATAGCATATATGGTCTTCTCTGCTCTAAGGGAATTAAAGATAAAGAACAGCAATAATGACAAATGTGAAGCTTCTCAAAGAGACACAAGGTCAAAGGTCAAAGTTTTTCAATTCAAGGCAACTGACAATTTTAAAGGAGAAATTAAGTAAATAATATTTTATATGACTTAGCCAAAGGAAAAAAATATATAATTTTTACATTTTAGGATAGATGATGACTAGAATAGCTCATATAAGATTTGAATAGCTTTTCAAGTAAAAACAAACCAAAATACACACCCTAGTGGTTTCCTTGGGCAAATGGAATGTGTGGATAATTACTTATAATTTGAACTATTCATTATCATGCATATTTAATGCATTTAACAGACAATATTGTTTGCCTCTTAAATACATCATTTTAACATAGAAGAGCGGCAATGCACAATTGCTTGTGGCTAATAAATAAGGAGCATTCCCTATTTTTTAATTTTCTTTTCCTATCAGAGGTAATGCTATTGAATATCTGACTTGGCTCTAGGAAATGGAGCATTATGTCTTGCGGTGATCCACTATCAACAAAACAGAAATCAATTTTACCCTAAAATTTCAATAAATTTTCATTAAATTATACCAGACAAGTTCCAAAGATACTATTTCAAATAGCATGGAAATTTTTTAAAGAAAACAAAAAATTCATTTTATCATTTCCTTGTTGATTTAAATAAAAATGCAAATTTAACAAATGAATAGCAATAATTTTGTAATATTTCATTCAGAACTTGAAATTGTCTTTTAAATATTGTCAACAATGTTCAAAATCAAATTTAATAACTTTTTGTCAAAAAATTTATATTTTATTGGCATTGGTGTTATGAGGAAAGTTATGACACACAAATATTGATATTTCAACCTGATGATGTTCTCTACTCTGCAGTATTTACTAACAAGTTATTTAGTCCCAATGCTTTTTGAAAAAAAGCTATCTCGACAAATTATATCTATATTAACACAAAAACTGACAAATAAATATAACTAAACTTTTTTACTTAAAGCAATAAAGATTTGTTGATTTCAAAGATAGTTAAGTAAGATAAAAAAATCACTCAGTTGCAACGATATACATTTTATAATTATAAAAAATTACTTTCTTGGTTTTTCTTTACAGAAAATTATTTAATTTAAAAACAGCTAAATGAATAACCACTTGTTTCACAACATACCTACAAAAATAACTTTTTTTATAGGATATGATATATTAAATCAATGAATGAATAAAAATTTTATATTTATCATTTGTTTAATTGAAATGGACAACTGTAATCATATATGTTCTTATATATATATATTTATATATATATATATATATATATATAATTTCATACCCCATCTAAACTGAAAAAATTTTGGTTTTGAGGTGATAATGTCATCAGTTTCTATAAAAACTTTTATCTGCTGCTATATAAACAAATAAAGAATTAACAATTTGGGAAAAAGTTAACAATTCATATATATATATATATATATTAGAATTGTACTGAATGTATAATAAACCTACAATTTTACCAACATCTGTTTTTGTTTCCTACTGCCAACCATTCAACATCTAAAAATCATTACTGTAAGCATTAGGCAACATAGATGAAGTCAACAGATTTTAAATTGTGACCAAAAGTGACCTTAAATTGCAAACCAGAAATATTTTAGAGATATTTCCACACAGTTTTAAGAAATTGATATTCTTTGAAAAAGTACAGAGAAAATTACTTTTTTATTGAATACAAAATTATATGTTGTTGCATGCAAGCAATTTACTCAAATATTATCTGGTCAGTCATCAGTCAGTTATGTGCCATAATACATGCTTAGGCGATCATGTATCTTTTGATACATGACTGACGAGGCAGATTTTTTCCTGCAGTTGGTTGTCATTTCTTTCTGCAGTAGACCAGTTGCCATCCAAGGCTATAGAATCCAGTCTGTCCTACTATTTACCCATACTGAGGGGAGAAGAAGAGGAGTCATACCTTTCCTAAGGGTATTAGAATGTAAGTGAATGTAATGGATTCAACTGGAATTTCTATGACTTAGTCATTATTAGTATCTGCATTCCAATCTGTGAGTCAACCTTCAATGAGCTTGCCAAAGGCTGAGAATTTGTTAATCTGTTGTCCTTGGTTGTAACTGCATCACTTTCATCTTTCTTGACTTCTGACTGCTTGTTTTGGAATTGATGGTCACATGCCTCCAGGCTCCAAGTTGTTTCAACTGCTATTCTTGTTTTCTTTGGCTGGAATCTTTTCTCATTATTGTTACTATCCTGCTTAGATGTTAGCTCAAAATGGGATGCATCTAAATTACAAGAAATTGAAGACATTACGAGAGATTAATTTGTGCTGCAGAAAATAAACCTACTTGGCAATAATACAGTC